GGAGGCGTGGCACTAAACCCCACCTCTAAACCCAACCATTACTGGGGGATGGCCAAATCGTACTAAAATAGAGGAATGAGATTGTACAAATTCACAAAAAATAGCCATTAAATCATTCATTTATTCAATTTTCCTTCGGCTTAGTTCATTATTAATCAGAAGTCGCCACAGCAGAAAGAACCACCAACTTATCCAGCATATGTTTTATGCCACAATGTCCTTCCAGCCACAACCCAGTACTAGGAAACACACATGAACATACACTATGGCCTATTACGATCATCCAATTCCCCTATGGCACATGTGTTTGGACTGTGGGGGAAACCAGAGCACCCAGAGGGAACCCACACCAATGCAGCGAGAAGATGCAAACTCCACACAGAAATGCCAAGTAGCCCAGCTGGTACTCGAACCAGCAACCTTCTTGCTGTGAGGCAACAGTGCTAACAACTGAGCCACTGTACCACCCTGGTCATTCATTCATTTATTTTCCCTATAGGTTTAGTCCCTTTATTCATCAGGAGTCGCCACAGCGGAATGAACCGCCAACTATTCCAGCATATGTTTTACGCAGCAAATGCCCTTCCAGCTGCAACCCGGAACTGGGAAACACCGATACACACTCAAATTCACACACACACTCATACACTACAGCCAAATAAGATCATCAATTCCCCTATAGTGCATGTGTTTGGACTGTGAGGGAAACTGGAGCACCTGGAGGAAATCCACACCAACACGGGGAGAACATGCAAACTCCACACAGAAATGCCAACTAGCCGGGATTTGAACCAGCAACCTTACTGTGAGGCCACAGTGCTAAACACTGAACCACCATGCCACTAAATAAAAACATTACAAATTGCTGTGAGAGCATTGAACACACTCTTGTGAGCAGGTATCTGGAAGTGTTTGAGTGTATAGCGCAGTAAATGTGTGTGCTGTGACCCGCCGCTGCTCCGTCAGTCTTTGATATTAAAGGCTACGGGTCACACTGTGCGCTAATCGTAACTATTATATGTGATTTAGGAGTCTGCGGCCGGCAAACTACCTCTCCTCGCCGTCCAGCTGCTTCATGCTTTCTTACTCTCAATTGCAGTGGACGATTTCTCATAATTATGTCTGTCTCCCGATCTGAGCTCTTCTTGTGTTTGTTCAGGTGGGTCTCGTATTGTTGTGTTTGCTCTGTGTCTGTGAAGACGAGATGGTAGGCTACATTCTGCGTGATTAATGGGAGAAATTGCTGAGTTCTGTCTGGAGGTCTTGTGCTTTTTATGAGCAGATGAACTTGTTGGGGTTCATTGATGTTTTTTATGAGGCGCGATTAAATTAAATTAGTACTGTGCTGGTTTATTGTGTTTTTGCATGCTGGCGTTTTGATGATTTCATTCCATTTTAACTACCTGAGTTGTTAGGTGCATCGGAAGGGAGATTGTTAGTTTGCATTTTTATTAAAATTCAGTGAGTTAAAAGCTGTATATATATATATGTGTATTGCTAAAAATAATTGAAAATGATGGGCGACACGATGTCTCAGTGGTTAGCACTGAGGCCTCACAGCAAGAAAGTCACTACTTCGAGCCTCGGTAGGGTCAGTTGGTGTTTCTGTGTGGAGTTTGCATGTTCTCCCCATGTTGGCGTGGGTTTCCTCCACTGTCCAAACTCATGCACTATAGGTGAATTGGGTAAGCTAAATTGGCCATAGTGTATGAGTGTGTATGGGTGTTTCCCAGTACTGGGTTGCAGTTGGAAGGGCATCCGCTGTGTAAAACATATGTTGGATAAGTTGACGGTTCATTCCACTGTGGAGACTTCTGATAAATAAAGGGACTAAGCCGAAGAAAAATGAATTAATGAATTAAAAAAATGAATATTAAACACATACTTGACAACAACAGGAGTTCAGGTGTGAGTAAAAGGGATTGAGATAAACCTCGGTAGATTGAGGAATAGTTAAAAAATAATTTAAAATATTGATTTATTGTTTTATTAATTAATTAAGCATAATAATGTTCGGATATGTGTGATTAATATTCATTATTGAAGATTGATTGAAAATCTTTCTTATGAATTGGCTAAATAGATATAATAAAGTTACTTGTAACTTTAAGCGGTTGCTAGGGTGTTCTAAGTGGTTGCTAGGCAGTTGCTAAGGCATTGTTAGATGAGTTTTAGGGTGTTGTGAGTAGTTGCTAATAGGTATGAGGTGATAACCCTTTTCAAGGTATACCGAGGTTTATCAAAGGCAAAGTTTTTTTTTTTTTTTGTCAAGGTCAATATTTTCTGCAATACCGCTTCTAAGGTATGTGCAAAATTTTTTATTTTATGTTTTTTTTTTTTTAGGACAACAGTATCTTCAGCAGAAAAGATATCCAAAGATGCTGTTTTAAATCCTAAAGAAATCAGTTTTTGAAACTAATAAAGACAGCAGGTCAATGATTTATTTAGCCTGACATGTTTACTGCTCCAAAATATTTTAAATGTTTCTTGAAAAAAAATAAATTGTGTTCAAAAAGGAAAAAACTTTTTATTTTTTTTTAAACCAGACGTTTAAAAAGAATATATTTTAAGTAGTAATCACAATAGCGTGAAACCGTGATATTTTTATCCCAGGTTATCATTCCGTCAGAGTTATACCGGCCCATGCCTAATTGCTAAGCAGTTTACAAATCAAGAAAAGTAAATAAAATAAGTTATATACAAAGTTTTGAGAGATGTAAACAAAAACAATGGTCCCAGTGTATTTCCTGGTTTACATTTTTAATTTCTAAAGCTTCTGAAAATCCAAAAAGAGCCACATATTGATTAATAATGTCATGAGAGCTGTTTTAACATCAAGTTAGGATTAAATTGCCTCTTGTTACAGTTGTGAAACAGTTTGATAACAGGCAGGAAACGTTCATGGGCCAATGACATGACCACATTGAAATGTTCTATAACTCTATCTCTCTCAAACACACACACACACACACACACACACACACACACACACACACACACACACACACACACACACACATCCTTGCTTGCTCGAAATCTCATTAAAGCATCTCAGTGTGAATAGTTACTTCATTGTTGCTTCTCCCTGGCAATAAAAGCATTTCCTTTTTTCTATTTTTGCCTTAATATGTTTCTAGTGAAGAAATTGGCCGGGCCTTCAGCTATTAAAATGTGTCTCAGTGGAGATTTTGCTCTGGCTTCATCAGGCAGCGATAACATTTCTCTAGTATGCAGTTAAAGCTGTTTAATTCTTCTGTTTTCCAGTGGTTTAATGCATTAACGCTGCATTTGTCATTTTTGGTGAAGTCAGCTGTTTGTAGTGCACTCCAGGCTAATTGTGCTCCCGTTTCTCATTAGTGCACCTTCTGCTGTCAGGAGAATCACTGTAGTGGTCAAGTGCCCTTCATCAGTTATTAAACCCAGACCTGATAATGAGTCCTGAAATCATGCTGTGCTAATTAACATACAGTGTAGCACCTTTCTATACATAGATCCGGGACATCCCATAGTGCTACTGCGTAAAAGATTTAAAATGTTTGAAATGTTTTATCTTGTTGACATGTGGTTGCTAGCATCATACAGGCGGTCTCTAAGGTGTTGCTAAGTGATTATTAAGGTTTTCAGAGTGTTATATTTTGTTCCTATACAGTTGCTAGCATGATACAGGAGGTTTCTAATGTGTTGCTAAGTGATTATTTGGGTATTCAGAGTGCTATGTGTAGATTTTGTTGCTATGCAGTTGCTAGGATCATATAGAAGGTTTTAAGGTGTTGCTAGGTGATAATTGTGGTTTTCAGAGTGTTGCATACTGTTGCTATGCAGTTGCTAGGGACATACAGGAGGTTTTTAAGTTGTTGCTAGGTGATTGTTAGGGTTTTCAAGGTACTATGTATATATTTTGTTGCTATGCAGTTGCTACGGTCATATAGAAGGTTTCTAAGGTGTTGCTAGGTGATTATTGGTGTTTTCAGAGTACTGTATACTGTTGCTATGCAGTTGCTAGGGACATACAGGAGGTGTTTAAGGTGTTGCTAGGTGATTATTAGGGTTTTCAGAGTGCTGCATGTATATTCTGTTGCTATGCAGTTGCTAGGATTATACAGGAGGTTTCTAAGGTGTTGCTAGGTGAATATTAGGGTTTCAGAAGGCTGTATGCTGTTGCTAAGCAGTTGATAAGGTCATATAGGAGGCTTCTAAGATAATGCTAGGTGGTTATTAGGATTTTCAGAGTGTTGTATGTTGTTGCTAGGCAGTTGCTAGGGTCATATAGGCGGTTTCTAATGTGCTACTAGGTAATTATTAGGGTTTTCAGAGTTCTTAATTTTGTTGCTATGCAGTTGCTAGGTTCTAACGGGAGGGTTCTAAAGCGTTGCTAGGTGATTATTAGGGTTTTCAGAGTGCTATATTTTGTTGCTATGCTGTTGCTATGGTCTTGCAGGAGGTTTCTAAGTTGTTGCTAGGTGGTTATTAGGGCTTTCAGAGTGCTATATTTTGTTGCTATGCAGTTGCTAGGGTCTTGTGATTGGTTTCTAAGGGGATGTTAGGGTGTTCTGAGTGTTTTGTTTACTAGGCAGTTGCTATGTTTTTGGGATGTTTTTAAGGTGTTGCTAGATAGTTATTGGGGTGGTTATGTGTGGAGTTTATAAGGTGTCGATTGGTGGTTACTATGGGGATATGAGTTTTTATGCGGTTGCTAGGGTGGTTATTATGTGAAGTTATTAGTATGGTGTGAATGTTACAGTGTGTTGCTTTGCAGTTGCTAGGATTTCACAGGAGTTTTATTTACTGCTGTGTGTTTATATTGTACATTACTCTGTCTTCTAAGATGTTACTAGGTGATCATTGTTTGTTGTGTTGTAATTTGTGGTCATGCAGCTGATAAGAGGTGTTCTGGGAGCTTTCTATCATGCATTCTTACATCATTTTTTACTCCCACTGAAGATACTTTAAGCTGTTATCTTTCTATTTGTGTGTAACAGGACTGTCTATTCGCATTTCAGGCCAATACGGGTTCTTACACACCGACAGGACGGCACTCGGTTTCTTTAGAAGTGCAAGTGCAGAAACAGAGGGAGGACAGAGACTCCTTCACACAAGCCCAGAGGCAGTACAACTCCTTACCACGGTAAGAGAAACCACAGCACACAACATCTCTGACTACTGCTGCTCACCGCACATTCTCTCTCACAATAACAGCAAATTAATAATAATATCTGCCGAAAGCACTGAAGCCTTTAACATATTTATTAGAGCACAGTTTTCATGCTGAAGTGGACTTTTTTTGTTTGGAGTCCAATAATGTTGCTCACTTTTTACATTTATATATAAACTCTTAAATAATATTATAGTATTGATGCTGATATTATTGCATCTTTATAAACAACAACTGCTGGGGCAAAGCAGTCGAAGGTAATATTTTGAGACGTTCATGCCAATAAATTACTTTAGACCTTAATGCACTTATTAGAGTACAGTTTTCATGTAAATGTGGAGGTTTGTTTTCTTTCCCCATTTATTCATAACCTCCGAAATCATACAGTAGTTTCATTGTTATTATTGCATCATCATCAGCAACCAATTTTATTATTATTATTAATAATAAATAAGGGCGTTCAGTTGGCATTTCTGTGTGAAGTTTGCATGTTCTCCTCGTGTTGGCGGGGGTTTCTCTGGGTGCTACGGTATCCCCCACAAGTCCTAAAAAACATGCTGTACAAGTGAATTGGGTAAGCTTAATTGTCTGTAGTGTGTGAATGAATGTGTATAGATGTCACCCACTGATGGGTTGCAGCTGGAAGGGCATCTGCTGTGTGAAACATATGCTGGATAAGTTGGTGGTTCATTCCACTGTGGCAATTCCAGATTAACAAAGAAACTAAGCTGAAAAAAAAAGAATGAATGAATAATTAATATTATTTTCGTTATTATTCATATAATATTATGAATATTTTTCATCATCATTATCATCATCATCATCATCAATATTATTATTATTATTTTGTTATTTTTAAATTATTGTTTTTTATTGTTTGTAATTATTATTATTATTTAATTATTTATTTAGTTTATTATTATTTTGTCATGTTCATCATCATCATTATTATTATTATTATTGTTGTTGTTGTTGTTATTTTTTAAGTTTTGTTTATCGTTGATTATAATAATTTTTATTTGATTATTTAGTTTATTTTTTCATCTTTTTCATCATCATTATTATTATTATTATCATTTATTTGTTATTTTTTCAATTATTGTTTATCATTGTTTATCATTATTTATCATTATTATCTTTATTATTATTATTATTATTATTATTATTATTATTATTATTATATTATAATATTAATATAATAAACCACTAAGTGACTTAGTGGTTAGCAATGTCGCCTCCCAGCAGGAAGGTCGCTGGTTTGAGTCTCGGCTGGCTCAGTTGATGTTTCTGTGTGGAGTTTGCATGTTCTCCCCGTGTTGGCGTAGGTTTCCTCCGGGTGCTCCGGTTTCCCCCACAGTCAAAACACATGCGCTATAGGGGAATTGGGTAAACTAAATTTGGCCATAGCGTGTGTGTGTGTGTTTGCGTGTGTGTGTGTGTGTAAATGAGTGTGTATGGGTGTTTTCCAGTGATGGGTTGCAGCTGGAAGGGTATCCGCTGTGTAAAACATATGCTGGATGAATTGGTGGTTCATCCTGCTCTGGCAACCCCTGATGAATAAAGGGAGTAAGCCAAAGGAAAATGAATTAATAATAATATTAATAATAATAATACTATAATTCTATGTTCTTCCCTACATGCAAGCAACACATTTAAAAATAGATGCTTGTTCTGAACGCCAACAACAAAGCAGTGAGAAAGTAATATTTTAATAAATGCATGCCAATAAATCATCCATTATTCAGCTGTGCATGCAGTGTGATGTGACGTCTCCCGCCCCCTGTGTGACCTCGGTGGTGTTTCTGAGCTCTAGTCATCCCATTGTCATGTGCTCGGCTCCGTCTGCGCTCTCAGGCCTCAGAAACAGCCACAAATGCTCACATGTGTCTCCAAAACCTAATAAAGATCCAACCCAGAACCTGTTTGTTGAGGGAAGTTTATCTTGGCAACAGCAGTCTATAGGGCCCCCTTTCTGGATAAATATCGGCCCCATCCCTCATCTGTTTTATCTTTTCTCTTCACTTTCCCTCGTTTTTTTTCCTTTGCATATTTGTCATAAATGTCAATAAGGCTTAGAATGTTGCCTGCGGGCTGAGTTGGATATCAGCGTTCCTACTTGCAGGCATTGGTATCTTCTTAATCTGCTTCGGTTCATGCAAAGCATCCACCCAACAGACACCAGAAGAGGAAAAAAATCCCGCATTAGAGCTTTACATACTTTAACTGAAAGAGTGGGAGACTGCAGGCGCTGCTGATAAACTTTAACTATTTCAGTGCATTTATTGACAACACAGCAGGCAAAACTATGTTAGGATGTTTTCTGATGAAAATGCCGCAGCTCAAATATTGACTTCACAATCAACAGTGCTGCTAAAGTGGTCCGAAACTCCTAGAACACCCTTTAATATCCCTTTTCTACTGAGCGGTACAATATGGTATGGTACAGGTCTGTACGGGTCAGCTTTATTGGGCTTGCGTTTCCTCTGCCAAAAGGGTACCAATGGTGGGCATGGTGTACGACAGTAAGTGTCAGTCCACGTCATTCTCGCTCAAGGAAATTATTACAGTAAAGCTGTACGGGTCGTTCACAAATCATACGAGAAGCACTTCTTACAAAACAAATAAACACACATAAACACTTGTGTATAAATGCTCATTACTAACCTTCTATGAACATGATTTGATTATAACTGCAGATCAATGATAATACCCTACTGTCACGTCTACGATTACATTAAATAAATAAATAAATGCAACATATATGAGCGCATACAGACCCATACAGTCTCCGAAATGTTAACGATTGCAGAAAAACTACACGCAGCAGACATTTAGTCCTTATTTGGGTTCAAAAACAACACTTCAATTAAAATATAGCCCACAGTCAGAGCAAACCTCTCACCTGTGTCTGTAATCTTCAACAGCACATGTAAGCTCTGTTAGAGAGTCATTCCGTCATTACGAGTTCATAATAGTCCAAAAGGTGATGATAATAGTTAAACATGGCAGTGTGTTCATCTTTTAGATTGCTGAAAGAATCATTTGCTTCTTTGTTTTTTCGTGCTTCTTGCATTTCTGAAATAATCGGATGTCACTTCAATAATCACGCACACGTTATCATCATCAATTCAAGAAGTTTGTTATTTCAAATTTTTTAAATACGGTCTTGTAAACAACTACAGGGCACAGGGTAGATTCTCCTCTTCTTCTTGGCTTTGTGGCTGTTCATCAAGACGACGACAAGGTTTGTTTGAGCTCTAGTCAACTATCCTTATTATATGTAGATTATGATTATTATTATATTATTATTTTGTAATGTCCTGGCTATGTTTTTAAAAACGACGCTCCCTTTGTTTTCGTTCTCCTGTGTATGCGCTAGTGATGTTTATCTGTAGACCAGTAGCGTTCAGCTGTGTGTCTGGCTCTGCCTTTTGTTACCCTTTTCATGCTAGGTACCCTTTCATGCTAGGTTCGCTTTTAGGTACCTTTTGACAGTGGAAATGAACATAAAATCATACCAAACTGTATTGTACTGTACCACTCAGTGGAAATGGGCCATAAGCCACCCATAATTGCTTAGCAACATAATAAAACATTCGGTAATAAAACACAATGATAACCTTCTATCAACACATTAGAATCCAGCTGTACAACTGTAGGAACTGCATATCAAAACCTTAAAATGCACAGCATTCTATTATCCACCTAACAACACCTTAGAAACCACCCATAAGACCCTAGAAACTGCAAAGCAACATAGTAATCTCTCAGAATAACCACCTAGCAACACCTGTAGGACACTAGGAACTGCATAACAACAAAATAATCATGCACATCATGCGAATTGCCACCTAGCAGCAACCTAGAATCAACCCACAAGTACCTAGCAACTGTATAGCAACACCTTAAAAACCAGCGATAAGACTCTGGCTATTGCTTAATGGCATAATAAAATCCTCAGCACACACAAAGAACCTCCTAGCAACACCTTAGAAACCATCTGTAGGACTTTAACAAATTCATAGCAACAAACACAACACCATAAAACACCCAGAACAGCTTCACCCCCTAAAATACCCTAGCAACTGCATTTCGACAAAAACATTGAAGACCCTTTTAACCACCTAGCAACACCGTAGAAACCACCCATTAGACCCTAGCATGTGCTTAGCAACATAATAAAACACTCAGAAACCCTTAATGACCACCCTATAATCATCCCATTAGACCATAACAACTTTATAGCAACAAAGTAAAACATTAAAGACCCTTTTAACCACCTAGCAACACCTGAGAAACCACTCATAAGACCCTACCAACTGCTTAGCAACATATTAACACATTCAGAAACCTCTAATGACCACCCTATAATCATCCCATAAGACCCTAGCAACTGCATAGCAACAAAGTAAAACTTAAAATACCCTATTAACCACCTAGCAACACCTTAGAACCCCAACATAAGACCCTAGCAACACCTTAGTAACATAATACAACACTCAGAACACCCTAGATTCATCCATTAAGACCATAGAAACTGTATAGCAATGATATAAAGTACACCTACATAGCAACAAAAGTAAAAGTCGCCTTAAATCTGAACGTAATTTAATCTCTGAAGTACAAGATTGTGTTCTGCAGGCCGTTTGAGAAGGAATTGTTGGCAATCATCAGCAGCTTGTGTGTTTGTGTGTGGTCTAACCCACATGCACGGCGCTTGTTTTCATTGGCTTTGGGAACGGTGTAACCAGGATATGTACAATTACAGAATTAGTCCCCCCTCAAGCAATGACAAAGCCCAGCATGCACCACAGAAATGAGGGTGGGGGGGATTGCATCCAAAAATCCCATAGTTTCATCCAATACTCTTTTCGTCGCTGCTTCCCCAGAGAAAGAAAATCAGGGGGTCGATTAAGAGCCTGACATTCACTAGTTCACACTATGCAGACATAATGACAGTTAATCAATTCAGG